AGGATTTTCTTAAAAATCACTGTTTCGTTAAGTTTTCACGTTTTTTCTTAATTTCATGAAAATTACGTAACTTTTGTTGAATTTTATGATTGCGTAGAATGGGCACCACCCTTACGCAACTTTTTATGATACAAAAATAATAAGTTTTGATCGATACAAACAGAATAATTGAAGATGAATAACAATGAATTTTTAACCAAAGAAATGTAACCTTTTTAATTAGGTTTTATTTTATTGATTAGGTGTAATTGAGAAATATAAGAAAAGGAAAAAATATGCATGTAATACTTGATATTCGAGATCTATTCGTTGAAAAATTGTGGATGTTATTTGATGAAGAAAGCAGAGAGAAAAACGCGAAAAAAAACATGGAAATTATGAAATTAGTTGTTAGACTTTAAAAAGAATATATTTGATTGTTTCTATTCATATTTTTACAGTATATATTATCAATTATCAATATTATCATAGCTCTTGATTATTGACCCTAATAAAGATATTGATAATGCATATTATTTGTTTTATTTTTATCTGATTTTATCGGCCGACGGATATACAAAAAGCATCATTATTTCTACTGCCTTAAATATAAAGTTTCTGTAACTCGATTTGTCAGGTGTTTTATAATATATTTTTCATTGGTTAGGTGCTAAGTTACTTAATTGGATTGAGAATGAAATTAAAATGCTTAATTTTGATAACTTATTGTAGATGTACTGACTACTTTTGTCTAATAAATTAAAAAGTTATTAGATTTCAAATTATATGCATTTTAATTATAACAAGCAGCGACATCTGTCGGAATTTGCAGGAAATGCAACAGACATAAGTATGTGTGGTTGCAGACTGTTTCTTAATTATTCCGACAGATTTTTTTGATTTGCGAAAACCGCCAACTCATTAAAGCTTAATAACTGTCTTATTAATTGACCAAAACTAATTTATTTTGTAGCAAACGAAAGCGCAATAATTATTTTTTAGCACAGTAAATTAAAAATTTCAAATATATACGAATATAAACATTTATTTAACTATTTTTTTCAATTTGCGCTACTTTCACTTTTATTTAATTAATCGATTACCATTAATGAGCTAAATACGAAAATTAAAACGAAAATTACAACCTTTCCAATGAGCTAACTGCCGGCATTGTGGTTTGTCTACATCTACTAAAAGTTGCCAAAATTAAGCATTTTAATTTCATTATGAATCCAATTTGGCGAAATAATTTAAAGCTGAATACCTCACTTTTCCAACGAGGCTACTGGCATCTTCGTATTGCAGTCGAGTCGCCTGCTATGAGCTGTAGAAATTGTAAAAAAAGTGAATAGGATTTTCTTTAAAATGGTTTTTTCTATGAGAAACGACGAGTTTTCACGTTTTCTCTTAATTTCACAAAAAATTCGTAACTTTTGTAGCATTTTATGAATAAGTTATATGTGCGCCATCCTTACACAACTTTTTATGAAACAAAAGTAATGTTTGTTGCGTAACAGAGAATAGACGATTTTTACGATTTTTTTTTCAGATTTTCGTAAATTTCTCGACAGCCCTATAATATAATTATATAATCGACCACATCATTTATAGTTGAATACCTCACCTTTCCAACGAAACTATTAACATCTTCGTGCTGTAGTGCAGTGATTCTTAAACTTTGACCACGACCCACACTTTGATAATTTATATTATAAAATGTTTTCAATGCCAAATATTAGTAATGAAATATATATTTTTATCCTAATTTATATTATATAACTTAAGAAAGTATTCGAATATAATTATTACATTGGAAACTACATTTCCCTAATAATTTTCTTGCAACTAAATAATAATTAGTTTGTTATTTATAATTAATAATTAATTACAATAATTATTCAACAATCAAATACATAGAGATAATTCACTATATAAACTTATGTTAAAGTATACACTGTTGCATAACATGAATATAAATGGGGCATAAATCAATATTATTACGTGTTTGCTTAGTTGCAGCCTCTCTTCATACTTTTAAATAAAAATTAATTCAACTTTTGCGTTATTCACGGTTGTCTTTCTGACCATATAAAATTAACATTTGTCTTACATAATAAAAAAAATGTGTTTATTAGTACAAAAGAAATTAAGAAAACCGTCAATTCAAATTATTTCAAATAATTAGAGGATTTAACTATTAACAAATTCAATGTTATATTTTTTTTCTTTGTGAGGAGAAATTCTTTGATGTTAATTGTCCTTTGTATGTATGTTGGAGCATATATAATAAAAAATTAAACTTCAAGAATTCAAGAAATTTCCTTACTTCCTAGCAAAAAAAATAATTTGGTAATTTTACTGGCAATATACGTGGATTATAATATTTAATTGATGTCCATAATTGTGACAAATAAACCTCCCTTTAGAAAATAAAAGTTCGTTTTTGTCCATTAGAGTGATTATTTTTATTTAAGTTTGATAGTGTCGTCAAAATCAATTTTTAGTTGGGTTGTTATTGAATTATTATTTTTTTTTTGTTAAATTTATATTTGTTTATAGGAAGATTTTCAATGGGAAATCGTTCCGCTTTATGCCTATTTATTTTGTTTTGTTTTTGTTTATGTAAAAAAACTGTTCAACTCATTGTCATAATTGTGGCAGTTTATGAATGATTAAAAGTAAAAAAAAAAAGTTTTTAAATCTAGGTTTGAAATGTCGATTGATTAGTTGAAACAAACACGTTTATGTTTGAAATGTCGCACGTGCAAATATACTTTCAAGGAGACAATTCATTCCACACAAATGTTAAGCGAAAAGGGACATTTCAATCAATATCCAATTTAGTTAGTAAAATGTTAGAATTTGAAAGTGTAGCATCTCGATACGACCTTATTAGAATAATGTAGTCCTGCAAAAGGATGTGCAAGTGCAGATTTTAATGGCGCACAACATGCGTCGTTATTGGTGCATCTTTTGTTGATGTTCAAAGAAATCTAGAAAATTGTCATGCAATAAACATACATCAAAAGGTATCGCAGCCTTTGTACGTAGTTACCAGACTGCTATGAAAGCAAACGTTTCGCAACAATAAACAACACACGTGTATACTGCATCCTATGACAACAATAAATTAGTGTTTATCAATGTGTACAAATATCATTTGCAGAATAAAAAGGTTTTAATAAGTGCATTTTGGAGTTTACAGAAACGTAAATACAACAGTAAACTTAAATCGCTTAATAACTAAAGAAATTATGAACATCTCAAAATGTTACTTGCTGAAAACTCTACTTTTCAGTTCGAGAAATTTGGCACATCGTTGAAATTTCGCTTCAGGATATTAGGTTTTAAAAGAGGTATATCTGCACCTGTTGCGAGTCCTACAATAAAAAAAAGATTCAAACGAACATTTTTATTCAGCTTCATTAATAAATTTTACTTCATTTGTTTAACATGTCACCAAATTACATATGAAACAAAGCAAATAATGATTGATTAAATGTGTATTCCCATATCTCGTCTATATTTGTTTAAATATTTAATGCACGGATGATGTCTTTAATGAAACGCGCAATATTCATCGAATTGTTTGATAAACGGTCATTAGTTTGTAACTAGGAGTAATTATACACGAACCTTGCGTATTATGTAATTACTTTACAAAGCAAATAATAGTTTCAATATCCCAATAATTAGTATATATGTATTAATACATTGCACGATTGATTCATTTCTGCAATTTGGTTGAAAAAATGAAACGAATACAACATAAAACTGTTCAATATTTTTTAAGTAATTAGTTGAAACAATTGCTTTTTAAAGTTAATTTCCGTTTAATTCCCCGCTAATTCCATTAATCAATAGGCGAATTTGGATAAGAAGAAGCATAGTAAAGAATTATTCTTATATTTTTTTGTATATATTACTATAATAATAAGGTTGCTTATGTATATGCTCGTTGATCAATAAGTGATTATCGTTGAAACTAATCCTAATTATATAATAACACTTATTTGCAAATATAATTGTATTGCAAATCAAACAATGTATAGCTTCGGATTATACACAAGGATTGTAAGGATGTTGTCTTTGAGAGTACCTCGCCAATTACGACGTATCAGATTATCTATACCATTGGAAATATACGGCCTCTATTTGGAGTTCATGAGCTTCGCTCTATTGATATGTCGGATTTGGTGCAGTTGGCTTTCAAGAATTCGTACTATTATTAATTAGATCACCGCTAATTATGTAATTCGTCCTCAATTCACGGGTATTCAGTATGTAACTACATTTCGCATCGCCGAATAATAGAAATTTTCGTGTTTAATGGAAACGGGTGTTGGCTGCATTTTTTTTTTATTTCAAATTTAATAGCTACAACTAAGTAGTGACATGAACTAAATTTAGATCAAATAAATGCCAATTAGCGAGAGCATTTTTTTTTGTTTGTTTTTGAAACGTTATATTTGCCTCTGATGATGTTTCAATTCGCATCATTATTTTGAAAAATAATTAAATATTTTTCAATAGATCTATGTGCGTTTTGCCCATTACAAAGTTAAATCCTCTTTTGATGTTTAAATCAATATTTTGCTTGATTTTTACATTGAAATTAAAAAAAATATATATATTTATAATGGAATAAAAATTATAAATACTTACCATTTTCAAAAGCCGCTTAAAAAAAAGCATTTTCAAATGCTTACCATTTTTAACAACTGCGATGAAAAAAATAATTGATTGGAAATTTGTGAGTTGGAATAAATAAGAATGTAGACAAATTTCTATGATTTAAGAATGTAAAAAAAATAATAAATTGATCGGAAATTTGTGAGTTGGAATAATAATAAAAATTTAGGTACATTTTCAATGTTTTTTTTTTTATTGTTTCATCAGTTTCTACTGGGTACAATTAGCATGTTCACAAAATTAATATTTTTTACGCTAATAAATTTAAAATTATCTAATTGATTTAACATTGCAGATGAATTTTGTTGATATATAACTACTGACAACTTTTCAAGCTATTTTGATTTAATTTATCCTAAGCATATTTTTTTTTAACTATTGGTGGGTGCTATACTTTACTAATCCATTTGACAGTGCCTATATTTTGGTAATTATGTTTTTTTTTTGTTGGATGAAAGCGTTCTACTCTAGGTCGGCAGCATTGGGACATCCGAAACACTCGTTGTAGCAGTTACTGAAATAATAGACGCACCGAGAAATGTAAATGGGATTAAAGCTGTTAGTGTAAGACATACTTAGAAAGTAGGCAGCAGAAGCATATGAGCAAAGGGATATAAGCTGTGAGCATTACCCAAGCAGTGATTATGAATGTATCAGACTCGCTCAGGCTGGACTGATACTTCTTGCTGAGATACCTCAATCTTACTAGAAAAGAAGAACAAAAGAAGAGAAAGAAGAAAAAGCAATACAGACTAAACCGAAATTTGCGAGTCGTTATAAATACCACCCACGACGTTTGTCTTGTTGGTGGTTTCAGGAGCATCCACCTGAATGGTCACCTCTTGGCAGTCGTCCTCTCCTGATCTGTACTGCCTGAAAACAAAGGACAAATGCAAGCAATCCCGTATAAATCCTAATATAACTTAGTACAAAACATAACTGTTCGGAGTTGCTGAATAACTTTTTAATTGCTTCGCTAAAATAGTTGTCGTATCAACTGAATAATACAAATGAGAAACTAATCAAAGACAAACTCAAATAAATATGAAAATATACTTTTTTTTAACTTAAATTTCTTGATTTTTTTTTAAATAATAATTGATCGTAACGACTTACGGTAAACAGGTACAGATGAAGCGGACGCAATCGTATCTCTTATCCTTGCAATCGGTGGCGACGACGCATTCCCGGATGTTGGCGGCTGCAAAGATCAAAGACGGATTTGGCGAGTTTACCAACAAAAGATTTAACGTTTCCTTTTAACTGTACCTGTTACCATTGTAATGATCCAGCCGAGGACTACCAATACTTGGAGCGTGTTGAGCATCTGAGCTTTCATATTGAGGTTCAACAATTTTATGAGAGTGCACAAAACTAATTCCTCGCAGTTCCTTGTTCGAAGCCGCGCAGGACATCATCTCTACCGAGGGCGGAGCGTTATTCCCCCACTGCATCTGTACATGGAAGTGCACCTATGTACAGATGCATTTATACATAAAACACGTAAATAGAACACCAATAAAAAAAAAACATCAATGTATATAATATGGATGTTGTTCCACCTACCTCCTAATGAACGCAATCACTGCTCTTGAACAACTAAAGAAGGTTTGAAATCCCTCATATAATCATAAAATATATAAAACCCCACACTTTTATAGGATATAATATGTATTAAAAATTAATATGACACTAATTGTATAAGATGAATTAGGTTTTCTAAGTCAATATTTACTTCTTTTAAAATGCAGTGGAATCTCGTTTAAGGAGTTTAATCCGTTCCAAAATTTCCGGATTTTTACTCGTATAGTGAAACTTATTCAAAAATACACATAATATGTGGAAATCCAGGACTTCTCTTCTAGTCGTCACTCGTTATAAGATACGTTAAGCAAGTCATTTTTCTTACAATTAATTTTGCTCGTTAAGCGAAATGCTTCCTCAATTTCAATATGTCCTTTCCGGAATAAAATGATTCGTTTTATTTGCAACGTAATACTTGTATTGCTTATTCTCAGAATAATAAGGAAAACTGGACAAGTGAAGACAATTATTTTTATTTGATGTATACATTTTTTCTGCATTTTTAATGGATTCTATTTTATTGTTATATATTCCTTTACTTCAGTTTTCCTAATAAAATAAAACAACATTTCCTTTTGACGTCGTCAATATTGTAAATATTTCAAATTATCCTTCGAAGCATACTTTACAACTTATCACTGTCATTCATATGTTTCGAGGATACAAAAATGTTCTGAATGTAAATGTAATTACTTTTATTGTTTATTTTTTTGTTACAATTCATCAATATTGCAAGTTTTTTTTTTTAATTTGGATTTTAAAAAAATCTTTCAATATTTTGAACATATCAAAATTTACCGAATTAAAAATTTAAATTCCAAGAAATAACTTATTTACATAGATAATTGTTTCTAATTTTTACATATTTAGCTTAATGAAATAAATATTTTAAACTTACAGTAATCGCAGTAATATTTTTCCTTGATGTTTAGAATGAAAAATAAATTGAAATCTCTGTACCCAAATACAACTGTAACTAGGGACAATCCGATTTCGAAAGATTAGTGCTGTATATAGTTTCACTAAGCGACTATAATGAGCACGTGATCTGACCGTTTCCATTGGAACAGTATCGAATTGTAACAGTTGATTAATAGGAAACACAAACAGTGCGGTGATTGTTGTCGGATACAGTATAGGTAGAAAACTAATTGTGTGCTATTTTATTACAATTTTTTTTTTGGACGTTAATTCAATTTATATTTCATGTACATTTTTAGTTTACTTAAACCAGCGTTGACTCAATTCTTAAAATTTCAACAAATTGATAAGAATAATTCTATAAACATATTTTGTATGTTAAAATATACAAAAAAGATCATTTCGCTTAACGAGCAAAATTAATTGTTAGAAAAATAACTTGCTTAACGAGCGATGTTTCGTATAACGAGTGACGATGAGAAGAGAAGTCCCGGATTACGCGACTGCTACATCATTTTTAAAACTTGTATATTTTTGAATATGTTTCACTATACGAGTTTTTCAGTATAGGATTAAAAATCAGGAAATTTTGAAACGGATTAAACTCGTTAAGCAAGGTTTCATTATTTTAACATTTTTTATCCATTGAAAAGATATAGATTCATTGCACAACAAATATTGGTATCGAGACAAACTACGCATCGACTCCTATTTTCTATTTGTGTGGAAAAAGGTTGTCAATTCTCACGTAAATACCACACAATTAGCTGATTAATCAATCCTTCGGATTACGCAAATTGTGGCTTGTGGCGATCTTCTGTGGTATAAAAGAACTGCGCACGCGACTTCGTCTTTCTGAGATTATTAAACACTTTAAGGGATAATACTTGTGGATTAACTCCACAGGTTATAATTGTGAAGGGCGATATAATATTTCGGTAACGCCATTGCATTTCTCAATCTCTTCTTAAGATTAAGACAAAATCTGAAATATAATTACAAGATCAACATTTTACACAATTATCTTTAGGGGTTGTCGAGAAATTCACGAAAAACCGAAAAGATGTATGTGTTTTTTTTTATCAATTTCTACAGCTCATAGCAGGCGGCTCGATGACAGCACGAAGATGTATCTAGGCTTGTTGGAAAGACAAAATATTCAGCTTTCATACGAGTGGTCGATGATGTAACTATCTTAAGGATTTGTCGAGAAAATCACGAAAAACTGTAAAAACTGAATAAAAAATGAGAAAAAAATGTTCTTCAGCTTATAACAGGCGACTCGATGACACTACAAAGAAGATTGTAGGCGCGTTGGAAAGGTGAGATATTCAGCTTTCATACAAGTGGTCGATGATAAAATTATCTTTAGGAGTTGTCGAGAAATCCACAATAAACTGAAAAGATTGAAAAAGAAACGTCGTTTCTCTGTTTTTTCAATTTCTACAGCTTATAGCAGGCGACTCGATGACAGTATCAAGATGCCAATAGGCTCGTTGGAAAGCTGAGACATTCAGCTTTCTTACGAGTGG